GGATTGGTCAGTTTTGCCTTAAAAGAGAGCCGGTTCCGGAGCAGAGAGGCAGATCCTCCTACCACCACCAAGGAAGAACAGCTAGGAGCGGAGAGCTCATCCTTTGGACCCGGGATCCCTACACTGAGAAGTTCCTGGAAGCAGGAGACCAATAGAGAGAGAGAGCAAGCTGTAACACTGAAGATGGTGAGAAGTGGTGGCAGGAGAGACCCAGCAGCAGGGACCCAGCAGCAGGAGATGGTGAGGTGGGCTTCCCAGCCCAAGGAGAGAGAAAGTTGAGTGCCTTTCAGGGGAAGCCTAGGGTGAGGAAGAGGCGTGCCTGTGAGCACGGTTGGGAAGAGGCTGTCCTGATGGAAGAACTGTATCCCGAGTGTTGCTGAGCCTGAATTGTAACTGTTACTTCCCTGATAAACCCCATAATCATGAATATGGTCTTTGAGTTCTGTGTGGCCATTGCAATGAATTATCAAACACAGCAGAGAAGTAGAGAGTGCTGTGCAAGGGCCAGTTTGTGTCAGAATTAGTAAAGATGGCAGAGAGAGGAGGCTTGTCTGGCCTCCACCTCATGGGAGTCAGCCTTGGGCTGTTGATCTTGGTTCTCCTTCCCCCTTGTGTGGTTGGAGGAGGTCAGACACTGCCCCCACACCGTTTTTACAGTTCCACACATCACTGAGGTACTATTCATTTTATTTTCAATATCTTGTCTCTCTGTACTTCGGATTAGATAACTTTTTTTTTCAAGTTCACTGTCCCTTTCTCCTGCCGACTCTATTCTGTTGTTATACCTATCCAGGGAATTTTTCATTTCAGGCATTGTACTTTTTAGTTCTGGAATTTTCATTTCTTTTTTATGGTTTCCATTTCTCTACTGAGATTCTTCATCTATTTCCTCATTATAGCCATAGTTTCCTTTAAGTTCTTGAAAATATTTTAAATAGCTACTTTAAAACATGATTTTGCCAATTCCGACATCTGGGTCATCCCACGGTCAATTTCTATTGGCTAATTTCTCTCTTGAGTATGGGTCACATTTTTCTGTTTTTTCACATCTGGTCATTTTTGTTATACACTTGACATTGTGAATGATACTTTGAAGAGACTCTGGATTATGTTGTCTCCCTATTGTTGGTTTTGACTTTGTAAGTTCTCTTGGTCCTGTTTGTTTTAATTTTATTCCTTGATAGAGCATCTGATGTTGGGAAACAAAATTTTGTACTTTGTCCTAAGATATGCTCTTTACACTAAGGCATGGCCCTTACTTTTAAGGCATGGCCTTTATGGGGTCTTCAGCATTGAAACTGAATACTTAAAGTGCTCAATGAGGTCTCTCCACCCCACTGAGATGGAAATCAGTGTCTCCCAGCACTGCACGACATGCGGCAGATGATCTCTGCTAGACTTTGCAGGGTATTGCTTTGCCTATATTCAGCCCAACTCTTGGCCAAGAACCCAGGGTGAATCTTAAAAGTAGACTTGTGAAACCTCCCTTTTCATAGCTATTATTCCTAGATATTCAGCTGCTTCAGTAGCCCAGAACTCCAATCTCTGCCTCCTTATTTGAATGAGACCACTTTTCTGCTTGGATTCTACCTTTTTGCACCCCAAAAAAAGTTCCCTCAGGCAGAAAAGCCAGGACAACTATGGTACGGTTGTGAAGTTCACCTCATGTGTTTACCTTTTCTCAAAGATCACAGCCCTGTGTTTTCTATTGTCCAATGTCTGAAAAGATTTGTATAGCTTTTTCCAGTCTATAATTGTTTTCAGTGGGAGAGCAAGTCAGGTACCTATTACTCTCTCTCCTGGCTGGAAGTCCTGGAACACATTAAATTTACACTGAGGTTTAAATGACTAATACTAGAACATTTCCTAAAGGCAAATTTGACAAAGAACAGGTAGGGGTGTGCTTGATAAAAATTTTCAGAGTGACTGAAAAGGAAAGAGCGAGTACTTTTAAGGGCATTGAAAACAAACTTTGAACTTTAGACTTAACCTATATTGTTGGGTTTAGGAAACTTTTAGATAGATTCAGCCTTGGAAGTAAAAAGTTTTAATGATATACATTCTTTCCCATTTTTGATCTGTTAACATATAATATTCTCTCTTAGGGTCACTGGAGACACTAGACTTTTGAATTATTGGTTGGTGAGTAGCTAAATTAGGAGTCACTGCCTTAAAAAAAGCCGGTTTAGACTGAAAGACAAAAGATGATTTGAAGAAGTAACTCTCCATTTTTAATGGGTGGAGATGGTTTGGTTGTAAATTAGTTCTTTTGCTCTGGGAGATTAGACAAACAATGGATCTAACTAAGAAAACAGACTGACTCATCTGGCTACAATGCTATACTGAAGTTACGAGCAAACTAACATTGATCTCCAGGAAGAGAATTGGGTTCTGAATACTGTAAATGAATTTTACAGTCAAGTCTGAGATTTCTCATTGAAGAAATAATAAATTCATAGATCTAAAGGCACCCTGAACCCTCTCTTTCTCTATCTCAACATCTGCTATAGCGAGGTTGAAGTCAAATGCAATTTACTTCATTATTTATTAACTCTTCTTTAGGATAGTAATTTTAATTGCAAGAAAAATGAGGTTTGCTGTAAACTTCCTCCTAATTTTCTTCAGTATTTCCTAACTTCCTTTACTAGTGAACAAATTCTATATCTTCAAAATGAAGGGTCCACCAAGGGGAAAAGGCATTAATGAGGAGGGAGTAAAGTCACCCCAGCTAGCAGTAAGAGAAATTGTACTGGGTTAAGTAATGGGTCATAAGTGAGTAGGGGTGGAGAATGCTAGAGAAATGGAATCACAGGTCTAGAAGAGACAAATCATCTGATCCAGACTGCTTCTAGACAGTTCAGCAATGGCTGTTTGGGTGGGCCATTTTCACATCTGGATTTAGCTTCTCTTGAACTTTTTCAGCCTTTTGCCTTTCACCAAGACTGATTCTTCTCTACAAGACACGTGGTACTCCTCCTCCTGCCCCAGGATGAAGTCCTTTGGAGTGAATTTAATTAGCTTTGGGGATGGTCAGTTCCTTTTCCAGGAGGTCTGTTTCAGGTTTAGGTCATTCCATTGGCCTCACCAACAACTGAAGGGCAGGTCTCCTGGCCAGTCAGTAATTCCCTGGGAGGAGGGGAAGGGCCTCTAAGCTGAGAGTTACACTCCATGTATTTCTAACTCCCCTTAGCTGTAAGGACCTGGTGTGCTGAGGTGGGTGGGAACTTTGAATTGAGTAGTTTTTTAGGTGGTTTCCGTTCACATTCTCCCTGAGAGAAGTGTACAGCTGCTTACCTTCCCCAATTTACACATCCACATCCCTGCTTTATGTGCTGGTAGAAGTGAAATTTTGACAAGTTATGGTTCCTCTAGGACCATACCACCATCTCTTCCACATGTCCCAAGTGTCTGAATTTACTTCAAGAGACACTGAGACAAAGGAGCGTGGAGGTAACTTTTGGCTCATTCTCTGCTTGCAGAAAGAGGTTTATGAACATAAATGTAGAGGTAAACGAGATTCTTTGTTGCCGTTTGGCGTCTGTCACATGGCTCTCCCCACCTCCAGCACCAGCTCATCATGCGCACGTACTCTGAGCAGAAACACCCCCCGCCCGCGCCCCCGCCCGCCCTTGCGGCCGGCACGGACCGACCAGAACTTCCCCTGGGTCGCGGCCCAGCGATACGGAGCGGCCCTGGCGCGGAGCCCCGGTCTTCCCGAGTCGTGGGTGGCGCGATGCTTGTTTCCCTCCCCTCCCTTTCCGGACCCAAACGGGGATGTATCTGGGTCAGCCTGGGAAGGGCCGGACCTGCCTGGGACCGGCGGGGGAGAAGGGGGTGGCGATGACAGCATCTTTCAGGTTTTTGGCGTCGTCGAGCTTAGCCCCGTCCAGCCTCTCACCACGCTCGCGCCCGACAAGGGCTGACGTTCCGGCCAGTGCAGGCCGGAGGGCGGGCGCCGCGTGGGTCGGGGAGAGCCGGTCCTTTCAGTCTGGACGCAATGCCCCCCGCCCTGCGAACAATGCGGCGCAGAACCCCTCCCCACCCCTAGACACTCACTCCCTGTCCCCTACAGCACGCTCCCCCGGCGCGCGGCGGGTCCCTCCGCCCCAGGAAAAGAGCAATGGAACAGTTCACGGTCGCTGCGAGTTTCTCGTCTTCCTTCCTTTCCAGTGATAAACGGCAGGGCTACAAGCCAGTTGCCGCTCAAGATGCTCCACCCGCGGGTCCGAATCCTCTTTTGGCTCCGCGGGGGCTCAGACCCCGCGGGTCCTTTCACCTACGCAAAGCGCGAAGGAGGAGCGCCGGGCGGCGAATGCCCAGGCCCAGACCCCGCTCGGGCGCCTCTCCTTCGTTCGGCCTCTCTCAGCGATCGTTTGCGCTCCGCAGCGCGGGGAGGAGCTGGGTGTGTGTAAAACCGCATCTTCCCCAGGGGCTGTACCGAGGACGCCTGGGTGAGGTCCACAGGTCACGGACCTTCCCGGCTCCCTCCCTGCGAGCTCTGTCCATAGGTCCAGCCCCAGGAATCGAAGTTGCGGGGTCTTCATTTCTCTGAGGTCTTCCCCAACCGCCCCCCGCACCCTCCCTGCCCCGCCTTGCCCTGCAGATACGGCTGCTCCAAATTCACAAGTACGCGCTCTTCTCTCGGCATCAGGGAGAGACGCGGAGCTACGAGTTGAAAACCATCTCTGGATTCCTGTATCCTGTGCACAGTCATCTCCCGCTCCTCTCCCAGGTTTCACCACCTCGCACGCGCGGGGAGCTCTGTGTGTCGGGAGAGCCTCGCCTATCCGGAACGCGCGTGCCTGTGGCGGGAGCCCACCGACGCTCCCTGGCCGCAAGCTCCCCGAAGGTGTCCGCCTCCGCGGGAGCTCGAGGCCACGCCGAGGTGTTCCTCCCCCCGGCCCTACCGCACCCTACACGTCTCCTGCCATCACTTGGTCCCTTCTTTAATCCCCGCGCCCCGCCCGGCGCAGCGCCCCCTCTCTCGGCCGCCGGCAGGGAGCGCGGACGGGCGCGGAGGCGCAGAGCTCTGGCGGCCGCGCTCTCCGCCCGCCGGGGAATTGACTGTGGGCGCGGCAACCGGCGGCCTTTATCGCTCACCGGGCTCGGCGTTGGAAACTTTATCAGCCGGGCTCACCGAGCGCCGCAGACGGGCGGGGGGCGGGGGCGCGGCGCCGGCCGTGACGAGCCGCTCTGGCGCTGAGCGCTCTGCTCTGCACGCATGGCGCCCGCACACGGAGTCTGACCTGATGCCGACGCAAGGGGGCTAATATGAACGCCCCTCTCGCCGGAATCTGGCCCTGGCTCCCTCTCCTCTTGACCTGGCTCGCCCCCGAGGTCAACTCTTCATGGTGGTAAGTCCACGCGCCCGGCGCGGGGGGATTGTTGAGAGGGGAGTGGGGACCACACTGGCCACATGGACCCTCCTGGCGGCGCTGCCCCGCGGCCACGACTGTGACCGAACCGGGCCCGAGCCCCGTCCTCTTCTCTCGCCCCATCCTGAGCCCCTTTACTCTTCCCAGCTGACCAGTCCAGCTGTGACAACTCCAAAAAAGCCACATTCTCCCTCAAATGAGAGCTCGGATGTTGGTTTATTTGGATCCAGCTGAGCGACAGCAAAATCCTCCCATTTCTTATCCCGTTGAGAGACGCGCTAGCCGGGTCTCTAGCACAGACGTGTGTGCGTGTGCGTGTGTGTGTGTGTGTGTGTGTGTGTGTCTGTGTAAATTCACCTTGAAAACTACAATCGCCTCTCTCCAAAAAAAATCCGCCTCAAGATGAACCGATGGGCCAGTTCAGGCAGACAGGAGTTGTAGAGCACGAAGCGGGTGATTTTACATTATTTCTCGTCCTTCCACATTCCTAATGCTTCACCCCAGTGGGGCGGAAAGACGTTTAGCTGCCTCCAGGTAGAAACTTCTGCCTTGATGCGGCACTGCGCACCCCAGGGGCTTTAAGATGTTGTCTTCTTCAGAACCGTCATGCTGAAGAGAAACTTTGCTGCTGTCCTTTGTAAGTTGATCTGCGATTTTTTTTTTTTTTCTTCATTAATGAGGAACACTGAACAGGAACAGGTCTTAGTTAGCATCGTTCAAAACTCCAACAGGAGATTCTTTGCTCACCTAGAAACTCTTCCCCATCTTCCGCGACCTTCTGATCTTGAAGAGACGGAGTTGAGAGCTCTGTAACTTCTTTGCACATAAAAGTTTCAGAACAGATATTAAAATACTGATTCAGAAAGACCTTTTATCATGGGCTCTACTTGAAAGAGCTGACAAAAATAAGGAGTCTCAACTAAATGAAAGACTAGAGCAGGGACGACACTGGTGCTCTTCAAAGGCGTAAGGCAACACGTTGCTGGGAAGAGGAGACGGATTCCTTCCCTCGTTGAACAGGAAGGCGTTTAGCCTTGACATTGCTGACATAGGATCAAAGATTGATTTATCAGACTCACCATTTTTTCAATAAAATGGCTATTTCTGTTTTCATGGGTGTATAGACATTATTTACTGCTCAGGCTTTTTGTCACATTGTCTCTCAGCTGTCATGTAAATATATTATTTGGAAGTCACAGCTGTAACGATTTTATGATTATATAAAATAATGAAAATACAAGAAAAAGACATTCTCCCTATTTGATCGCTTCAAAAGACACCTATGGCAGCTTGGGTTATATAAAAGGTACCTTTCTAAACATTTCACAACTAATAGAGAACATCTGGGTACAGATGATGATGTAATTTTTTGTTAAAGTTTCTTTTCAAAAGTACTTTATGGAGCTATAGCACTGTTTGATTCTTCCAAACATTTAGTGTCCTTAATAACAATAGAAAGAATTTTTTTTCCAAAGGTTTTCTGTAAAAGCCAAAAAGAGCTGGAAAATGGAAATATTTAAAGGATTCTTTAGTAAGGAAAGAACAGCATGTCTGTGAGGAGAGTGTAACATCAGATACCAGCAGGTGTTGATTAGAGAGATACAGACCGTTTTTAAGATACTTGAACATTAGGTCAAATAAAAGAGAAGAGGCACTTCGAAAGGTCGGCTTTCTCCAAAGCCAAGTCCAGACACACTGTGTCACTGAGATCAGAGCCTTCTTCTTTGAAACATTCTCCCCAAAACACAGTGCCTTCCCCTTCTCATACCACCCCCCATGGCAGACCTTGTCTCTACCCCCCTGTCCGAAGCATTATCTGCTGGCTAAGCTTCATGGCGAGAGACAGCCAGAGCCCTTCTTTGGATTGGTTTCTACAAGATCATTGGCTATCCCTGCCTTGTCTGCTTCTGCACCGAACTAAAATTGAATAAGCCTTGCTCGCTAACCCACCAGAAGGCTAAGGAACTCATACTTGAAAAGTGCTCTGGTTTCTTCCGTCTCATGTTGCTCTTACCCTTGTGTTGGTCCCTCACAGGTACATGAGAGCTACAGGCGGCTCCTCCAGGGTGATGTGTGACAATGTGCCAGGCTTGGTGAGCCGCCAGCGGCAGCTGTGCCACCGACACCCAGACGTGATGCGTGCCATTGGTCTAGGGGTGGCCGAGTGGACGGCAGAGTGCCAGCACCAGTTCCGCCAGCACCGCTGGAACTGCAACACCCTAGACAGGGATCACAGCCTCTTTGGCAGGGTGCTGCTCCGAAGTAAGTGTCCTGCCTTTGTCCAGCTCCGCAGGCTCTCCTGTCACACACCTGTGGTGCTTCTCACCTGCCCTTCAAATCCTCCGCTCATCTCTCATTGCATTTTATTCAACCAGAAACTTGTTCTGTTGGGTGGCACTCTTCCTGTCTTACATATAAGGACTGGAGAATCAAGGAACTTGTCTAAAGTCTTATAGGAGGCCAGTCCTAGATCTGGGGTCTTGTCTTTCAGCAGTCTGCTCTGTCTGTCACGTACACCCTGCATGTCCCTCCAGGTTTAGACTCTGTCTTAGGAGGAGGGAGGAAGCAGCCACAAGGCTCTCTTGACTTATTTCCTCATCTTTCTGGGGCTTGAATCTTCCAGAAGGACTTGAGCAGAAGATCAGGATGGAATGCTCCAATCTTTTGTCAGCCGAAGATGATCATGATTATAAAAACACCGTATAAATTTTATTAAGAAGCTGAGATAAATCTCTACTCATCACCTTTGACCTCCCATCTAGCTCCTCAGCCCTAGGTCACTCTGCGTCTAAATTAAACATGTTTCTCAATAAACTGTAAATTCCATAAAGGTAGGGACTGTGCTCCTTGCCCTTTGGTGCCTTGTGTATTGCAGACACTACTCATTCATTTACAGTGAATGAATGGATGAACTTGTAGTGAACACTTTCCAGATGCCTTTTAGGCAGTAAGGATATTTATGGAGGGTAGGGGTGGGGACTATGAATATATAGATTTCTTTTTGACTTAGAAGTAGTGTTCAACATTATGTAATTGTATACTAATAAACTTCTTAAAAGTTCTGAATATGGAAAGTAACTTGCTGTTGTTATTATTGTTAGGTGCCGTTGAGTTGATTTCAACTCATAGCGATCCCAAGTGTCAGAGTAGAACTGCCGCATTGGGTTTCTTAGGCTGTATATAATCCTTATGGGAAAAGATGGCCAGGTCTGCCTCCCATGGAGCTGCTGAGTGGGCTCAGATCAACAACCTTTCAGTTAGCAGCTGAGTGCTTAACTGTTGCGCCAGCAGCTAGTACAAAATCAGAGAAATTTACTTGAAAGTCAGATCTTATTTTCAAATAATTCCCATCCACTGACCTGGCACTATTACCACTCTCTAAGAAATAGCACCGCCCATTTGCTAGTGGAAATCTGACTGAAAAACACAACAGTTTATGTGCGAACCCCAGAAACAGGAAACTTTATACTTGTTTTTGCCCCTCCCCCCCATTCCAAGGAAAATCATTCAGGCTATGCACTTGGTAATGCTTAACAGAGGGTGTTTCTATCATGTAATCATCACAGCCCTAGGGTTTTATGAGGCCAAATGCATAACTGAATGTCTCTAAAATCCCCCAAGGGCGTAGTACTCTCACTCTTAGTGTATCCCTAAAGTTAATTTACTGCGATATTCTGCAATTTTGTTCTCTAGTTTAAGAACTATATTCTTCTGCATTCCTTTTGGAGTTTTGATATGACATTGCAGACTTTTGAGAGGTTAATGGTAAATTTCAGCTACATGGAATTTAAGACTTCACCTAGATTAGCTCACCAGTAAATCAATTAAAGTGCTGGACCTTGTCAAATAGATAGTTTGCAAATATCTAGCATGAGTAATCTTTGAATATATTATGTGCAGACCCCTCCTAGGTATTTAAGATGCGGAAGGAACTTTCTTTTTCAAAGTGCTCACAACCATTTTCCAATGATTATAAAATTGAATGCACATATTTGTAAAGTGTTCATCTCTAGATTCTGTCTATGAAAATCTATTACTGTCTCCATATTGAGAAAACCTTTAAGTTACAAATGAAAGGAAGCGATTTTGATAGTGATCCTAAAGATAGTATATCTGGGAATTCATTCATAAAATTCTTTATCTTAATCTTGACAATGTTTGTCTCTTCAGAGCTGTAGAGTTGCTGAGGGGGGGAGATTAGAACATGAGGAAGCGCAACGAGTTTGGCTTAGTCTAAGGCCCCAGGTAAATAAGAGATTTTAACTTGTACTTCCTTCACATTTCTTTCAGATGAAGCTTTGCCAAAGTACTCAAAACTTAAAACATGCATGCTACACAGTTTCTTTCCATTCTTTACAGAAGGCCAGATTCCATTCTGGACATTTCTGCAAACTCCTGCGACTGTCAGTGATGATTTTGTATTGGTTATGGGAGGGCTGAATTTGGCCTGAAGCAGCTTATCCTGGAAATAATCATGAAATTCCAATGAAGCTATCCAAAGAGTTTTACAGTTAATTGCTTGGAGGGGAGTTCACATCTCAGACTTGTGAAGAGCTCTCCTCTGGAAACCCAAATGTCCTTAAAGATGAATTAAATTTAAAAAAAAAAACAAAAACAAAACAACCCAAACCGTTGCCATCGAGTCCATTCCAACTCAGCGACTCTATAGGACAGAGTGGAACCGCCCCATAGGGATTCCAAGGAGTGGATTCGAACTGCCCACATTTTGGTTAGCAGCCAAGTTCTTAACCACTGTGCAACCAGGGCTCCTGTAAGTGAATAGCCAAGGCAAAGGGCGGCACCATTTATAGAGAGAACATAAAAGTTACTGAAGTATTCGTGATCATAGAGAAAAGGAGAACATTTACCTCTTTTGCCTCAGAGAGCCAGACTGAGAGACCAATTTTTAAACATTAGTAATTCACTCATTCAACAAACATTCACCAATCACAGGCAGAGAAACTTGGTGACAGAACTAGTAAACCCAGAAATATTCCTGTAATAATACACCTCCAGAATTCTAGAATAAACCTTAAGAATCGGAAAGGTGATTAGGTCACATCTTTGCGATTCTCAATAAAATAAGCCAGCATTTTACAAGAGAATTGGACAACCCATAACCTTCAAGAAAGCCTAGTTTCTAATGTCTTGCCCTCCAAGGTAATGGTCCTCTCCCACCCTCCAAAAAATACTCAAAAAGTAAGCATATGTGCTTAATAAACATTGCTGGACTTAATCAAAAAATTAGAGAAACTTCAATAGTAGCACACTGGGAAGTAGAAATATTACCATTTAGATTTTAATTTTATTCCATTTTGTGATGGCTTTTAAAAGAATCAGTTTTTCTAAGAAGCTCAAGATCAAAATTTGTTTTGTTACAAAGCCAGCTCTTGAAATGTGCTACTATTTCACACATAGCATTTTAGTGATTCATCTAAAACACTTAACTCAAAACATCTTAAGGCTGTATCTACATGATACCAAAACATCTGGAGGTAAAATGAAAAGTTTAGACAATGTGCTAAATTTTTTAAATAATCATTGGCTGTTTAGTAAAATGTGTGAATAATAAATCAATAATATTTTTGCTTTGGAAATTATTTCTGAAATGTAGCAGATTTCATATGATTTTTTTTTTCTTTCAGCCAACAAGTTAATATAATTGTTTGCAAATTACACCAGGATGAATTCTGCTCCCAAATAATTTACTCTTCTACTGTTTTCAGAGTACTGTCTGGTCACTGACTATCTCCCGTACCTTTCCCCAGCAGACCGCCTTGTGAAACCTCTCTTCTTTCTCCTTAAAAAATGAGTACTAAATACATTAAACATTCGGGAATTTTTCCTCTATGTGATTTCCCTAAATGTGGACAGTGGACTGCTAATCAAAAACCAGGCTTTAGTGGATAAACAGGGTAACTAGGGACAAGGTATTCTCCCAACCTGTAAAATGGGTCTAATAGAAGGCTTTATTTATCTGAAAGCCACTACCTGAGATTAAGCCACATTAGCATCTAGTCACCTTATTTTAGAAAACATCTCAATTCCACTTAGACAATCTATGATCCTTGTAATAGGAGCTGGGGCCCTTTAAAACAGCTCCTATGATCATCACATTTCTCTCTGGAGAGTGTTACCTGCTACCTATGGCAAATATAATTGACTCTACTTAAATACAGGGTATGATTGATTCTTTTTTTGATGGTCGGAGGTTTTGGGGAGGTATTTTTTGAAGGCTGAGGTAAGTGCCATTTAATACGGTATAGATGCGTTTTCCCTATTTTTAATAATGAGACTAGCAGAACAAATATTGCAAGGGACATATAATAAATTTTAACACTGAGTGACAGACAGAAACAAGCAGGGCTTCGATGCGAAAAGGTGGTTTGTTCTCCCAGCTGTGTGGTTCAAAAGTCACACTCGTCTTGACACACTGAATCGCCAAATGGCTCTCTGTTTTCTGCCTTGCGTTGGAATTAGGTTGTTCAGCTTCAATTTTGATTGTTAATATATTTGCTGCAGCAACCATTAATAAAAAAGCATGCTAATAACAATGAAATACACTTGAAAAACGAGGTGCGCACGGACCCTAAAGAGCCTTAGATCTGTCACTATACCACAGCACCATGTTATGAGTTACTGCAGATTATTAAAATAATTTAATGTAGTTATTGCACTGAAATATGTATCTTTCAGCCTGTAAGTGAAAGTAGCCTGCACTCTAATAAAGAACAATTCTAAGAAAGCACCCCAAAGGGTTCTTGCCCAAGTCTAATTATAGGCGGTAAATTTGTTTCCTTCCAGAAAAACCAAAGAAAAGCTTTTCACTGTCTTTTACCCAACACTAGTGATTAGTGCAGGTGTTCTAGAAGAAAGTAAATTCACCTTAATAGTTAGACATAGTATACAACTCACGGATATTGCATATTGTCTTCAACAATCTCTCAATTACTTGTGAACATTGATGCCGAGCCGAAGCTCTCCAGCATTAACTTGGGGAGTAGGGGGTGGAGCAGGGGTGGTTACTGCCTGAATTCTCTCCCCACCTCAGCCCCTAGATTTCTCTGAATTCAGTATTTGAATTTCAATAATTTAAATGCTGATGAGGGTCCCCACGAATGCCTGGAGGTTTGAAAGAGTTTTTCTAAGGGAAGATGTAGCATGAATACCAAAATATATCACGCAATTGTAGACTACCATATTATTGGGTGGTGCAAACGGTTAATGCACACATCTGCGATCCTAGAGGTTGGAGGCTCAAGCAGCCAGAGGTACTTTGGAAGAAAGTCCATGTGATCTGCTTCCAAAAAATCAGCCATTGAAAACCCTACGGAGCACAGTTCCACTGTGACACGCATGGGGTCACCCCATGAGTTGGAATCAACTCAGCAGCAACTGGTTTTTTAAAATCTTATTTTACAGATGACAAATAAGACCTAGAGATGTGATGATCCTCTCTTCTGGGACATTTAGGGATGGCATTAAAGCAAAGAGGCACATGGATAAAACTAATGGTTAGCCAGGAGCTGGATAAGACATTATTTTCCTTCTTCTTCTTCTTCTTTTTTTTTTTTTTTTGTATATTCTTTATGTACTTTAAGAATAGCTGTCATTCAAATACCTAAATGGACAAAAACCTTTCGATTAGATGCTGATGATTCACATTAGAGAAAGAGTCTTGGCTCTCGAAAAATCCTTCAAGAATGCTAGCGCCCTCTGGTCTAGTGGTGAAGCATGCCGGAGGCAGATCAATAATTAAGCAGCTATCATGTGAAAGTCATTCAGAACTAGCGACACCAGACCACTTTTAAGAAAGGCATTTTTGTTTCAGGTAGTCGGGAATCTGCCTTTGTTTACGCCGTCTCCTCGGCTGGGGTTGTGTTTGCCATCACCAGGGCCTGCAGCCAAGGAGAGTTAAAATCCTGTTCCTGTGATCCAAAGAAGAAGGGAACTGCCAAGGACAGCAAGGGCACTTTCGATTGGGGTGGCTGCAGTGATAACATTGACTATGGGATCAGATTTGCCCGCGCATTTGTGGATGCCAAGGAAAGGAAAGGAAAGGATGCCAGAGCCCTGATGAATCTTCACAACAACAGAGCCGGGAGGAAGGTATGGAACCGCAACTGGTGCTCATTGTAGACTGCATGGCTTTAGCATAAATGACTCAAGCAGAGCTTTTCTTAAACTTTCCTAGAGTCGATAAGATGCTGTATAGTCACAACTTTCCACTGTCCCACAGCCTAGAGCTGTTTGTTGTAAAGAATACCCCTGACTCGGTTGAAATATCCCCACCCACACTCCACCTTTCTTCCCACAACTGAGCTGACAGAGTCCACCCATTGCTTTTGGCACTGTGTGTAGTCAAGTGTTTTATGGTCCCTCTGGATACTGTGTCATCAAGACAGAAAATATAATCTGTGAGTAGGATATGCTTCCTCCCACATAGCAATGGGGCTTTGAATGCTTGTATCTAAGTGATACCAAGACCTAGAGTATCTTCTCCCAGACTTTTGGTGGAAGCAAGTCACCAGGCATGGCAAGTTGGCTTTTTCTAGATCCAGGGAGCTCTCTCTTAGAACCAGACCCAGGTTTCACTCTTAAAAACACCGCTTTGTGGTTTCCGGTGCTGGATGAGTGAGTGGACCAGGGAAAGACAAGGCCCCAAAGGGATACTCTGGCCAGTTATGTTCTAGTCCTGACCAACCTCCTTGCTGTGGGTATATGGTCAGTATTCATCCCAGCCCCCTTTCGTTAGATGAGAAGACTGTGGTCCTCAAGGTGCTCAAGGTCATACGATGCGTCAGTACAAAAGTCAAGACTAGAACTCAGGATTCAACTCAGTCCAGGGTGCTTTGGCCTAGGGTTAAACCATTTCCGTGCCAACATTCAGATCCATTGATCAGCCATATCCACTTTCATGGTGGCAAGGCCAGAACAGCTAGAGAATCTGAGTGCTGCACTTCATGCCTGTGTGTAGAAAGCCAAGACTGGCTGACTGATCAAATATTTGATCAGAACCATTCTACAGTAAAGTAATTGCCAGTGGGAAGAGATAACCATAATTTGTCTTTTATCAACACAGCGTAAAAATGTGCTTGATATTCATGTATATAAAGACAGATCAGCATAAAATTGAAAGGTCCCTGGGGGGAGTTTAACAGGAAAAAGAATAGAAAAGAATGCAGATCTGTTTGGATGAACACCCGCTTAATAGACTCATGGAGAGAACAAATCTCACTTAAAGGAAGCTGGAAGGAAAGAACTGTTGCTTAGCACATGGAGTAAGATGAGTGTGACCTGAACTGTTTACAGATAGTACATTTCTTGAACTTTAAAGGTCAACATGCCTTATTTTCATGAATTTATGGACATACAGTGACTACTGCCAAGAATATAGACTATGGTTGTGCAATCCTACAACTATTGGTAAGTACTGTTTGTGCAATGGTTTAGATAAAAAAAATTTACATTGACCTTTGTCTTGACATTGATATGGCATGTATAAATTGTAAAGTGTGGTGTCTTTGATAGGAGTGTGCTGCTTAATGATTAGATCTCTCAGACTGTTTGAAAAGATAAAGGCATACGGTCATACATGTGTCTCAGGGAGAATGTGGACTTATCAAAATAAATGTTCATTTGCTTAATAGGTCAATAGATGTTGAGTGTTTCAACTCTTCAAGACAATAGATCTTGGCTATTATATGTTAGGCCCTGAATAAACATGGACTTTTAATGTAAATCACATGATTCTTCGCTGCGTAGAGGTGAACAGCTGTCAGGCCTCAGATATTCTCCTGCCTACTCTGTAGAACTTAGGAGGCTACTTTTGATTGGAATGAAAGTGCACACACTGACTTTTTAAAATGTGGCTTTAATTAATGGTGGGTGGGCAGACTTTTTCAAGGAGATGCATGATGTCAGTGAATATGAACTTTAATGAGAGTAAATGTATTGAGATAAACATGCGTCTCTAATTCTCTTCTTGCGGTCATTAGACCCCCTGTCTCTACTCCCCCTTCATACCAGCAGAAGGTCTGTGGAATCAAAATGAGAACAGGCTGGGCTCGTGTTTAAAGGCAGACCTCCTGAGCTAAGCTTCTCACCAGCCTGGTTCTAGAAAACCCCAGCCTCCCTGGGCCGACAGTAGCATCGGTTCATTTTTATCTTCTTCTTTGTGCTTTTCTGTATTTTCCAAAGTGTACAATATGAACATCTTCTACATTTTAAACTAGGGGGAGAAAGACCAATACATCTGATTAAAAAAGAAATCATCTATTCCAAGATCATTCCGTTTGGCCAGTGCTACAAGTAAGCATTCAACACTGCCATTCACGACAGGCCTTGATTTTTCCCCAATATTTAAACAGTTTAATTCCTTTGTTACAGCAGTTGGTTAGAGCACCCTCATGTGTCTTTATGCTGTAATACCATTTTTAGATCCTAGAAAGTATATATTTTATTTTAATCACAGCTTCAGCAGAATTTATAATGATCTTTTTTCCTTCACATTGCCTTGAAGGCTTGTCCTGGATGGAGTCTAGTCTTCCACCTCCAAACAGGACTACCATTAAGTCCTAAAAAGATAAGCCTACCCTGTTTAAAACAAACATTATAGCAAGAAGAAAGCTCCATAGCTTCTCTCAGCAGCCCCTCTTAGGTCTAAAGAAGCCATTCTATTAAATCTTCTGAAATATATTTAAAATTAGGTTTAAAATATATTTTAGAAGTTTCAATCCAAAGAACATAGGATTGAAATCAGACCCACTTTAGCTATAACCATACGGTACCAGAGGCTTAGCTCACTGAATTGCAGTTTTTCTCGTGTGTAAGTGAGCATCACATAGTGCTATGGGAAGACAGTGTAAGGCAAACGGCACAGAACCTGGCGTGTAAGTGCTCAAGAAAAGTGAGTTCCTTTCTCCTTAACAAAGTGAAGGTTATTTGTCATGTAGGTAACAGAGGGAGGCACAGATCTCATCTGAGCTATTCTGTAGGATTCAGTTTGATCCTCTGTGTATCCAGAGACTCATCTATACAATTTAACGTACTAGTAATTAACAGGCATAGTGTTCTCTGACTTACAAAATTTCACCTTCTGAAAACTGCTATAGCAATTAAAAATAGTATTAAAATTCCTACTTTTCAGGTGAGAAACAGCCTCAGAGGGATGACGTGACTAATCCACAGTCAGGAAGTGCGGGGCTTGGGGGTTCAAACCCAGTTGAGTTCGCCCTTATGAGCTTGTCTATGTTTCCATGTTGTCTCTGCTGAGAATTTTAGGAAAAAGAAAATTATTTCTGTATCTTAAAAAAACAAAAACTGCCCTTGGGAGGTAGTTTACTGATGATTTTTCCCTTTTTGTGTGTATCTTTATTTCCCAACCTCTCTATCATGAAAGGTGTATTATTTTTGTAACAACAGGAAAGAAAGTTATGTTTTAAGCACGCCCAAAGAAACTTAGCCTTATTTGGTGGATTCACCATTTCACCTAAAGCACTGTAAGTCTGCTATTGGGCTAAATTTGGTTCAACAGATAATTTGCTAAGGAATTACTTTGGGAAAGGCATCATTTTTGGACCTAAGGCAGAAGTGGAACAGAAAAGACAAAGAAGCCCCTGACAAGAAACTAAATTTTACTTGGGGAGTCAAGTGGAATGTAATAGCAAGGCAAGCTATGCTAAGTGGGATAATAGAGAAATAGGCCAAAGGGCCAGTTAGCTGAGGAGATGAAGGTCGTGTCATAAAAGAACTGGTGTTGGAGCTGGAGGTTGCCCATGGTTGAGACAGGAAAAGTGCTTTCCAGGATAAGGAGACTGCATGAGAAAGAAAGACGCTGGAAGTTCATCATAAAGTTGAGGAGCGGTGAGGTCTCTAGGGTAGAGCTCAAGACTGAGAGGTAATAGGAGCTGAGGCTGGAAATTGAGTGGAGGCCAGAGCTGGAGAGCCTCGAATGCTGTGCTGAGAAATGTGGACGTTATCGAGAAGGCTACAGGAAAGCATTGAACAAGGCAGGGAAAATGGAATATTTAAGTTCAGTGTTTATGCATTTGCTGATTTCTTTGGAGTCTACTTTGAATGGTAGATTTCATCAAAGTTCAGATGTTCTGTAATGCATTTTATGAATGACTTAAATAGATTTTCTAGGAAAATGATGAAAAATTTCTGTCTCCCTGAATTTTGTTTCCAGTTTTAAATTTACACAGAAGGACTAATATAATAAACCTCCTGATGTTTATTAATAATATAAAATTAGCATATGCAACTATGTTGTTATTTATATTATTACCCTGATAGTTTATTTTATTATTGGCTTCTTTGCTCCTTAGGAGTTCTCAGCTATTGACGTCACGAGGCTGGGGCTCAGTGTTAGAAAACTGGCTCTAATCCTTAAGCACGACCTTGGGAAGGTTACCCAACTAGGTTGTTGCTGTTGTTAGGTGCCACAGAGTCGATTCCAACTCATAGTGACCATATATGACCGAGTAGAACTGCCCCATAGGGTTTCCTAGGCTGTCATCTTTGTGGGAGCAGATCGCCAGATCCGCTGCTGGGTGGGTTTGAATTGCCAACCTGACAGTTAGCAGTCGAGCACTTAACCATTGCACCACCAGAGCTTCTTACCCAACTAGGGCTGCCATATAAAATGTAGAAATCTCAGCTTCATTTAAATTTCAGATAAATTCACACTTAAGCCTCCTGTATTTTTATTTGCTAAATCTGGTAACCGTATTAGACCTAAGTCTCCTCATATGCAAAGTATGGATAATAACAGTACCTGCCTCTTAGACTTGCTTGAACCCTGGTGGGGAGAAGTTTGGAGCGTAGAGGGATTCAGAGTTTCTAGTTCATGCAATGCCCAAACAAGTACCTCCCTAGACCACTGGACAGTGCTGCCAAGCACCAGGGCCTGCACATGAGCATGGCCCCTGGGTTCTGGGATCAAGGAGATTCTTCTAAGTTCCATTTATAGGAAATGCCTCCAAAGTAAACAAAAACAGATATTGTACAAGATGTAAGCACAACCATCTTGTTGTTTTTAGTTGCCATAATTGGCTCCGACTTATGGCGACCTTATGTGTAACAGAAAGAAACATTGCCCAGTCCTG